GAAAATCAGATGGAAAATTCAGTGTTTAGTAATAGAAAAACAGATGGAAAATTAATCAGCTATCAAAGCAAACAAGCAAGAGTCAAAAAGAGAAAATCAGATGGAAAATTCAGTGTTTAGTAATAGAAAAACAGATGGAAAATTAATCAGCTATCAAAGCAAACAAGCAAGAGTCAAAAAGAGAAAATCAGATGGAAAATTCAGTGTTTAGTAATAGAAAAACAGATGGAAAATTAATCAGCTATCAAAGCAAACAAGCAAGAGTCAAAAAGAGAAAATCAGATGGAAAATTCAGTGTTTAGTAATAGAAAAACAGATGGAAAATTAATCAGCTATCAAAGCAAACAAGCAAGAGTCAAAAAGAGAAAATCAGATGGAAAATTCAGTGTTTAGTAATAGAAAAACAGATGGAAAATTAATCAGCTATCAAAGCAAACAAGCAAGAGTCAAAAAGAGAAAATCAGATGGAAAATTCAGTGTTTAGTAATAGAAAAACAGATGGAAAATTAATCAGCTATCAAAGCAAACAAGCAAGAGTCAAAAAGAGAAAATCAGATGGAAAATTCAGTGTTTAGTAATAGAAAAACAGATGGAAAATTAATCAGCTATCAAAGCAAACAAGCAAGAGTCAAAAAGAGAAAATCAGATGGAAAATTCAGTGTTTAGTAATAGAAAAACAGATGGAAAATTAATCAGCTATCAAAGCAAACAAGCAAGAGTCAAAAAGAGAAAATCAGATGGAAAATTCAGTGTTTAGTAATAGAAAAACAGATGGAAAATTAATCAGCTATCAAAGCAAACAAGCAAGAGTCAAAAAGAGAAAATCAGATGGAAAATTCAGTGTTTAGTAATAGAAAAACAGATGGAAAATTAATCAGCTATCAAAGCAAACAAGCAAGAGTCAAAAAGAGAAAATCAGATGGAAAATTCAGTGTTTAGTAATAGAAAAACAGATGGAAAATTAATCAGCTATCAAAGCAAACAAGCAAGAGTCAAAAAGAGAAAATCAGATGGAAAATTCAGTGTTTAGTAATAGAAAAACAGATGGAAAATTAATCAGCTATCAAAGCAAACAAGCAAGAGTCAAAAAGAGAAAATCAGATGGAAAATTCAGTGTTTAGTAATAGAAAAACAGATGGAAAATTAATCAGCTATCAAAGCAAACAAGCAAGAGTTAGAAAGAGAAAATCAGATGGAAAATTTAGTGTTTAGTAATAGAAAACCAAATGAAAAATTCAGTGTTCAATTAATCATTGATCATTAATTGAAAAGAAAGCAAGCACAAGTCTGAAAGAGAAAACCATATTATTGTAAGATGGAAAATTCTTCAGCTATCAAACAAAAAATTGAGAATCTGAACTAAGAGAGAATGTAAGCAAGCTATTGAAGCCAATGATATTTGAAGATACTTCAATTGAAGAAGATTACATATCTCTCTCATATTAAACCTTGTTATTTGTATGATACTAAGATGGTTAAACCTTGTTATTTGTGGTTAAATGTTGTTATTTGTATGTCCTTGTTAAACCTTGTAAGCAGAGAGAAATTGATTATTAATGTCATTATTCCAACTAAAAAAGATGAAGCACAAATCGAAAATCATAATTTTGTAAGATTAAAAATTCCTCAGCTATCAAACGAAAAATTGCGAATCTGAATTGAGATAGAGACTAGAGAATGTAAGAGAGAATGTAAGCAAGCTCAATCTCAAAGAAAAAAAAAATCAAATGCTGATAAAAAAAAATTGGAAAAAAAATCAAATCCACAACAAACCCTAAATCATCAAACTCAATAAATCATACCACTTATCAAACGCATCTAACAAATGAACAACAAATCAAACCATGACAACAAATCTCTCTCTCTCTCACACACACACACACATACACACATACATATCAGTAACAAAATGAGAATGAAGACGGAAGGGACGAAATGGACCTCGTCATCGCCACCTCCCCTCGTTTCACTGCAAGAGTCACGTCGACTGCCCGAGTCGCCCTCTCTGTTCGTGGCCTCTTTGTTTTTTTCTCGCCACCTCCCATAGCCTTACTGCCGCGTCTCCTTGCCTTGCCTCCCCTCCGTCGCCTCGCTGTAGGAGTGATGTCGCCTGCCCATGCCGCCTTCTTCGTTCGGGGCCTCTCTGAGAGGGGTTAGGGTTCAATCAACAGGCAAACGAAAAAGAGGCTAAAAAGCAAAATAAAAAAATGAGAAAAAAAAAAAGAAAAAAAAAAGAGGTTCAAAGCGACGTCGTTTTGAACCGCTGCAAGAACCACTGCAGGAAACCACAACAGAGGATCCAGACTCGAAGTTGGTGGGTAGAGTAATTCATGTTTTCAAATTTTAAGATTTGAGGAATTGGATGTTATGTAGGATAAATATAACAAAAATAGGATAAATATAACAAAAATAGAAAAGGGAAAATTGCACTTCATTCCAACTTTTCAACACCAAAAAAAAAAAATTTAAAAAAAATTGTAAATTAATGTAAAAGTTATCAATCTTAATAATTAAAGTTATATGTTTTTTCATAAATTTATAAATATTTTGTAAAAATACCATCGATTTGCAATTTTTCGCAAAAAAAAAAAAGGAGGGGTGAATTACACTAATAGTCCCTATAGTTTGGAGCTCGTGTCACTTTGGTCAATGACTTTTCAACGTGTCACTTTGTTCAATGACTTTTCAATTGTGACACATTTGATCCCGAATTTTAAATCTTGTTCCAAATAAAAGCAATTGAAGATATCATTAGATTTTTCAAGGGTAAAATCGTCAATTTCATAAAATATAAACTAATTTGACAAAAATAAATGTCAAACAAATATTTTTGAATTTTTAAAAATTATTTCTACCCACTAAAAATAAAATTATGTAAAATTGATAAATCTTTTAGAGATTTATTTATTTTTTTTACCAAATTAATTTTTATTATGTGTTTAGATGATGATCATGTAAAATTAATTTAAAAAAATTAATCATGTAATTTTTATTAATTTTTATCAATTTTACATAATTTTATCATTGGTGGATAAAAATAATTTTTAAAAAATTAAAAATATTTTTTTGGACATTTGTTTTTGTCAAATTAGTTTATATTTTATTAAATTAATGATTTTGCCCTTGAAATTAAACAATAGTATCTTCAATTGTCCTTATTTGGAACAAAATTCAAAATTCAGGATCAAATGTATCACAATTGAAAAGTCAGAGAACAAAGTGACACGAGTCCCAAATTATAGGGACTATTTGTGTAATTTGCCCCCCCCCAAATAGGGAGATTGACCAAGAAATCCTATATTTTAGACTTGTAATCCATATAATCCCATATTTTTTCTTGGAATCCGTTTAGTCCTTTTGGATATGTAATGATTTATTTGATTGTCACATTAAAGTGTTACATTTGAAGAGTTACGTTAGAGTGTTACGTTTTGAAAAAGCACACTATATGTTTTTAGTGTGTTATATTTTTTGAGTGTTACATTATACTATTATGTAATTTGAGAAATTTTTTAGTATGTTACGTTTGAGATATGTTACGTTTGAGAAAAATACACGTAATAATTTTTTTTTGGGAGTTTTACATTTGAGTGTTACATTTGAGTTTGATTATTACATTAGAGTGATGGAAACGTGATCTAAAAATTGAATCTAACCTCCCTACGATGATGTCCTCCAATGAGGAAGGGTGGAAACATCTACAAAATTATACTAAAATTTAAAATAAAATCTCGCAGTAATGTTGTCAAAACAAACAAAACCTATGAATGTCTTAAAAAATTCATGAGACTGATTGGAATAATTGACTCTTATATGGAACTTTTTGATAATTTTTCCTAAAAAATAAGATGTGTAATGACAATTTTTTTTTTTTTTTTTGGTGATGTAAAGTAAGGCCAAGTTTGACATGTGGCGAAAAAGTCAAAAAGTTACTCAAAATGTTAAAAAGTTATCACTATTCATCAAAAGTCAAAAATTACGGCTGCACAATTCTCAATTTTAATTTTCCCCTACATACTAATTTATATAATTTTTTAATAAACATTTTTTCATATAAAGTCAAAAAATTAACCCAAACAACCATATTTTTTTTCTCAACTTTTTAATCTAAAAAATAAAAAAATACACTTATTTAAATCATTCCAAACAACTCCCCAATAGAAACACCCTGCCTAGATGTTGCTTGAGTCTGCTTAACGTACCATAATTCCCTTGCATTGTGTTTCGGCAATTGGACCAATATGTCAGACATTCAGGGTAATCCACCTATATAGAACTACATTTTCACATGAATCTTGATAGTTGAAGCTTTTTTCTTGGTGCTCACTCACGTGGATGAATTTGTCAAACAATCTAACAAAGACTGGACTGGTAACATATAAAGCAGCATCAAATTTTTTTAGATAATTATTTGAGAGCATTTCATTTTAACCTCCAAATTTCGCCTTAATGATCAATTACACTCCAAATTTAGTTTTAAATAATTTTAATTTTATCCTAAATTTTTTAAAATCATATCAATTTATCCTTTATCATCGCATTAAAACGAAAAAAGTTAAAAAAAAAAAAATATTTTAACTCTAAATTTCAAATTATAGAGAGATTGTTTGGATTGTTCCAAATAAGTACATTTTTTGTCTTTTTAAATTAAAAAATTAAAGAAAAAAATATGAATATTTTAATTAACTTTTTAAATTTTTATAAAAAAATATGTATTAAAAAATTATATAAATTAGTGTGTAGGAAAAAATTAATATTGAGAGTTATGCAGTCGTGATTTTTGACTTTTAATAAATAGTGATAACTTTTTAACTTTTTAAGTACTTTTTTGACTTTTTTTACGCTTCCCAAACTTAACTAAACTCACACCTCTCCTCTGTGCAACCCTACAACTTCGGCGACTACCACTGCCGGCAGCTAGCCCTCCTCCTCCCTCTGCCACTGCAAAAGCAAGTGTAGCCATTTTTTTTTCTTCTTTTAAACTAGAAAGCAAGTGTACCTTAACAACAAAAATTACTACTACAATCAATCCTCTTTGCACCAGGAATGGTGGCACGAACATGTTCAAGAGTCGAACAATTGCAGTGATGAGCCAATTCATGAGATAATTTCCTCAACCAAACAACCGAGTTCGTCCCCGTAATCAAATTCCTTGAAATACTCTGTTTCAAGCCACTAATAATCCAATCCATAACCTCTTCGTTAATTGGATCCAACCCGTAATCAACATGGTTTGGTAAAAGCCATCCATGAACAAACACAGATTCACCAGCAACAATAGTCAAATTATTTGCTAGAAATCGACTTGAAATCGGACCTTCAGGTCTCAACGCAGCAACCCTAGCCCTAACTCTATCACTAATATCTTGTTTCAAATTAGGGACAGCCAAAGGCAGCCCACGATACAAATCCTTGGGTTTTCCCAACCCATCACAAAGACTCTTCATTGAGTTACCAACACAGTACCAATTAGCCCAAACCCTAAATTCATCGAGAAGGGTCTTACTAATGAACCTGAAATCGCCGTCGATATTCGCGATTTTGTTATTTGCATTCATGGTGACAATTTTCCCACCGACTTTCGCAGCCTCGCGGTTGAGTTTCTCGAGAAAGTAAATCTTGATTTCGTCGCCACCACGATCGATGATATCATAGACCTGGCCGATCCAGCGGTCGGATAGGTCGATGAGACCGGCGAGTCAAAGGGTTTTTTGGATTTTTGGAGGTCGCCGTGTAGATCGCAGATGGTGATGAGGTGGCCCAGCGAAAAGTATGTGGTCTGTAATGAAGGTGATGGGTTAGAGTTAGGGTTTGGAGGTATGAAGAGGCCACTGACTGAAAAGTCAACGAAGCTGTCGATGAATGAGGAGAGAAGGTGAGAGAGGTTTTTTCAGGTAATGTCGGTTTGTTTGGTAGAGTTGTGAAAAAGTAATTATACTTTATAGTTTAACAGTTTATAATTTATAATTATGAATATAAATTGATTTTTGATTTATAAATTAAGTTTCTTTTTCCCTATTAAAAGAATAAATTGATTTTTGACTTATAAAAAGTTATAAGTTATATTGTTAAGCTGAATCAAATATATCAAAATAGATTAAATTAAGTTAAAAGCTGAAACAAGCTGAAAATAAATCCTACCAAATAGGGTCAATGTGTTGTGTGTCTGCTATTTTTTTGTCCCCTCTCTATAGTGTGAACGGTAAAAAATGGGGAAGATAAGTTATGGTTTTTGTTGCGGAACCGCTATGTAGCTCGAAAGTGCTTGGCTCGAAAGGGCTCGAAATTGTGTTTTAATCACCTGTTGCGCTGCTGTAGCCACTGGGTACATACACCCCTTTCATTTCATTTCAAAAACAAAACCAAAAAAAAAGAGAAATAAAGAACAGAGTAGAGGAGATACAGTAGCAATGTCTACGACCTAGCTTTTGCCGCCGCCGCTGCTATTTCATCGGGGTGGAAGAGGAGGAAGTTTGCTTGAGTTGTGGATAAGGTATTTTCCCCTTCAAACATTGCTCTGTCATTGTGGATGCCATGACAGCTACCTAAGATGATTATGGCTGCCATGATTGCTCTTCCATTGGTCTATCATAAAATTAGGAAAATGATCCAGAGCTCAAAACTCTGTGGTTGCTCTTCCATTGGTTACTCTGTAAATCACATCCATTGGTCAATCATAAATCCAATCTGCTCGAAAATTTTCATTCAATAACAGATGTGATTTGCAATGAAAATAACATTATTGTGAAAATAAGAGGTACCCAAAAATAAATTAGCAGATTGGATTTATTGCCATGTCTTCCATTGCTGTATTAGTTAAGGATTTTTTTTCAGATTCATTGTCTAAAAAATAAATAAACTCACACTTGATTGAGAATATCTCACAAGTCAGCTATTTGAACGGTGCTGATATAGCTTTGACAGTCCAATAGTGTATCATCTCATATACACTGTAGAGTCCACACTAATTTTGAAGCCAGCGTAGTGTGAAAGGTCATGTAATTAAGAGATTCCTCTATTAAATGTGTAACTGATAATACATTTAATGTAAAATTGTGTATTTCTGTCCACATACTTAGTTTGAAGACTGATGAGCTAAGATTGTTTGTGTTTTCTTAGTGATGATGAGTTCAAGACATTTGATGTTATTGATGTAAGGATAAAGATAAACTGTAAGTGCACAAATCTAAAAACACAAAATAATACACAGAAATAAATAAACTCACACTATCTGATTAATTTGCTAGATTATTAAAAAATCTTTATGTACCCTGAATCTTTCTAAAGAAATAAATAATTAGATCTGTTATGGCAAACAAATCTTTATGTACCCTGAATCTTTCTAAAAAACACATTGTCCGAGATTATTAAAAAAAAAAAATTTGTGCCTTATAATGTGATACCTTCACACTATCTACTATTATTTTTTAAAAAAAAAATTGGATTTATTTATTCTTTCACATGCATTGTCTGAGATTCAGATTTATTTATTCAAGTTAATCATCCACATATACCTTAACAGTATAATTTTTGTGTCTTATAATGTGACCTTTGATCATGCTCAAGCTGCCAAAGAAATTTATGAGAAATTTCAACATCTGTTAGGTTGGCATTAGGCAATCTAGATGTTGAGGCTACTCTCTCTCAGCCGCGTTGTGATTCACGTGGTATATTTGGTTGCTCAAAACCATTACCGGGTGAATGGGAAATTGAAGCCAAAGTATGCTCCATGGAAATGAAGTTTTGGTGAAAAATCCTTAAAGGTTTGAATAAGGCTTGCCCCACATTGATTTGGTAAAAAGTTTTGAATGGGTTTATAAGACATGGGATTGGAACTTGGGGTGTGTCCCAAGGGGAACCCAAGTGTTTTAGAGGGGGAGGTTATGGGCAAAATGGGCTAGACCCATTGGACCCAAAAATCACCACACACGTGCGCGCCGCCGCCGCCGCCGTCCGGTCGGGCGGGCTGGGCTTGGGCACGGGTGTGTGGTGTTAGGTTGGGCTTCTAATCTTTTTGGGCCAAAAATATTTGAATTTAATTTTATTTTTTTATTAAAATAAAATCCAGAATTCAAATTAAAATTAAATTGGTTTGGATTTTTTGTTCATCCAAACAGGGCCCTTCCTGTTTTCAAACAGAATTAAACTGGTTTGGATTTATTGCTCATCCAAACAGAGCCCTTCCAGTTTTCAAACAGAAATAAACTAGTTTGGAATTAGTGCACACCCAAACAGGGCCTTTCCCGTTTTGCTATCTGTTTGAATTCAAATCCAACAGGTATCATACCTGTTCAATTCAAAACCAAGAGCCACATACCTGTTCAATTCAAATCCAAGAGCCACCTTCACATCTATAAATAGGACCACCCTCATTTGATGTTTTCCATTCAGAAATTTCGTATTTCACCTCTGCTAATTATATTCTTCATCTTGCTGCATTTTATTTCCGAATTCAAGAGTGTAACACTTAGTGTGTTCGTAAGTCAAACAATTTGTAGTGCTGCTATTGTTTGTGGTAAGATCATTTCATCCTGGGAGATAGACATCCAAATTCTGAAAGCACCGTGGAGATGACGAATCTGTCTTAAGGACACAGTGTTAAACACTGGACTTGATCAGGAAAGTTATTCAAATAAATTAACCAAGTAAGTTGTTTAATTTTATTCTGTTTTCGTTTGGGAACAGGCTAATTTAGTAACTTTTTGGCTATTTGGCTAAAAAGGTAGGTAAAAAAAACTTAATTTTGTTTTTGTAACAAAATAAAATCTGTTTTTATTTATTTATTTTTATTTCGAGTTTGATTTTTGTAATCAAACAAATTCTCTCATTTTCTTTATTTCTTTAAATTCTATTTGTTGTTGTGTACACAATAGAATTAAATCTTTTAAATACAGTGAAGATTGTCCAACAATTTATTCAAGTTAATCATCCACATATACCTTAACAATATAATTTTTGTGTCTTATAATGTGACCTTTGATCATGCTCAAGCTGCCAAAGAAATTTATGAGAAATTTCAACATCTGTTAGGTTGGCATTAGGCAATCTAGATGTTGAGGCTACTCTCTCTCATGCTCCCAGTTATAAAAAGTTATTCAGTTTGCTCTTTTACTAATTTGTCTATTGTATTTAACTTTGAAGCTACAATGGATATTGATTCAAACAATAACTTGCCACCAATGACGATGCTAAACACAAAGTGATTCAACTTGGGGTGAGGGAAATCAAGGATCGAGTGAAAACTATTGAATCGGGTACTGCGAGTAATGTGCCATGTACTAGTACTCTACCACCTTCTACTATTATTGTACCACCTTCGCATACTTCGCCGAAAAGTCCGCCACGTCTGAATACTACAAAAGCAAGCAACACTCGCAAGGTACTCAGTCCTTTGGTTGCTCGCCGAAGAGGACGTCCATGTACGAGGCGGAAGGTTAGCAAGGTTGATCAAATAGTTAATCGGTTGAAGAGAAAGAACAAGAAGACTACTCCCGCACAGGTAAATACTTGGCATAGGTTGTTTCGTAACCTTTTTTGTGGATTCATAGTTGAATGGCTACAATAAGTAATGAAATTGTGTTACTATTTCATGATAGGTGCCAGAAGATCAAGCTTACTATTTTCCTTCTATGGTTGGCACACAAGATAGTATGTATGTTTCGGTATGTGTTGAATGGACTTAAAATATTGTACTTTGCTTCTTGTTGGGTTTTATGGTAATGCTTCAAATTATTATTAACATTGTCTTACTATATAATCATAAGGTGCCCCATGATGAAGCTTACTATTTTCCTTCTATGGTGGGCACAGAAGACAACATGTCTGTACCGGTACGTGTTCAATATTTAAGTACACATTTGTAACGATGAATGTATTGGTCAATATTTTTTAAAATCATTTTGTAATATGTACTTGTTTTTATAGGCACGGGTTTGCACAATGGGAACGCCGGACAATATTGAAAGCACATCAGGAATGGTCAACAATCTAAGCAGTCAAAGTTCTACAGTACCATCACTATTGGATCCAAATGCCCCAATTTATTTTTAATGTAATACACTGTTCAATGTCTGTTCAATGTAATACACTGTTCAACCTGTTGAACAAATAGTAACCTGTTCAATGTCTATGTTCTACTATTTTTGTAAACAGGTTCTGGATGATATGTAATTTCATGTCATATGGTCCCATTTGAATGGATGACTTGAATGGATGGTTTGGTTTTTATTTATTCTTGTGTCCCTGTTTTGATTAATGATGGATTTTAGATTATGGTCCCATAAAAACTGTTTTAATTTCATGTCATATGGTCCCATAAAAACTGTTTCAGATTAATCACTCAACTTTTTGTGTGCTTGGGATCAACGGACCTAGTTGTTTTTATGAGGATAGACACACTATCTACTTTTGCTTTTGGTGACTGGTATATGCATTGTTTCTATTTGCAACTTGGGTGCTCTTGTGGCCAATTCTAATACCGTAAACAGTTTTTATATTTTTATCAGCAGGTGAAGATGCCCAAGTTTCATAATCAGGTTGACCTGGTTTTTTAATGTACATGAGTTACACGTAACTGTCACTGGATGTATCAGAATCTGCATTTTTCACTGTGTCAAAACCACATGAACCAACATGAAAGACAATCTTCAAGTTACATTTTTTTTTTTTAAGTTTGCTTGCATTATATTCATGAATTTGGTACTGCTAAGAATTGAGTTTGTGGGATTTCACTCACAAAAAAATTGAGGGACACCAAGTATAGGTGCTGACATATTGAAACAATCATGATATACCAAAAATCCATTAGTCCAGCACCTGCTGTTTGTGCTTTCTAATAGTCACAACACAATCCAGCACAATCCATCATCAATAACTATCTACTACTATTAGTCTATCACAATCAATAACAATCCATCACAACACGACATTCAATTCATAACAAAATTGAAGAGGTAACATATATTCTTGGTACCAAACCAACTCTTGGTACCAAACCATTTCAGAAGTATGTGTAGCAGGAACATAATCATGAGAATCTATCCCCAATGCTTCCTGGGCTTCCTCCAACTTCTCCTCAAATGATTCAACACTTCCAATATTGAAATAATATTTATATTGGCTCTTGCTTGGATCAGCAGGTCCTTGGACAACTGGTCCCTCAACGACATCATTGCTTGTTTGATTGCGTGGTGAGCTCCTTACATACACTTTTGCAACTGATTTATTCGAAACAACTACATGGTCTACTAAACCCGGTTCCAGGAGCTTGTTTTTGAACTCTTGGAAACTAATCTGCAAAGAATCATTTTCCAAAGTTTTAAGGCCCAAAAAGATAAAACAAAAATCTTAATTACATTCAAATTGCACATAAGGCAAACCAACCACAATATATATATATATATATATATGTATGTATCATTAACGAAAAACTTGAATATGCGACTCAGCTATATATCCTACTAACTATGAGTCTATGATTATAAAAGCCCCATACAACCAAGTCCTGAAATATATTCAAGCATATAACTTACCTGTTGTTGCTTACGAGGACCAAATGAAAATGATGAAAGAAACAGGCCAATCACTAATATAGGGGTGATAAGATTTTGAAATTGCATCAAGAAAGCTTCCTGAAAACTGCCATGATCACCTGTGTTTGCATCCTCTGAAAATAAAGAAATTAAAATATGCAAAAAGTTGTGAGATATTATGTATTATAATCAGTGTGGTGAACCATTTTTTAAACAAACATTCAGCATGAAGTTTTACTTAATAAATATATTTTTTGAAATATACACATGAAAATAATAACTTCTTCGTTTTTACTTTACAGATTCATTTATACATATATCTTTAGAAAACAAATAGTAAGAAATCTTTTTCACATTCCATATATTAGAAAAAGAAGGGTGGACCAAAATAGAAACTATTATCAATATTAGAAGAGGGTGTATATCATAGAATTTCTAATAATTTATTTGTTTCAAAATTGAGGAAATATAAATGCATATATGTTCTTATTTATTTCAAAATTGACGAATTTCCAACAGTTCTTACGTAGTTACAAGCCTCGACCAGCAATAACATAGTTGATGCTGCCACATTCACGCCGAAAGCCCAGAAAATTCACATGTTGCAGCCAGCAGATTGCCTCACCTTTCACAAATTCGAAGACAAAACCAGAGGACCCTTCAGTGCCGGAGAAGAGTCCCTAACATGGCAGTCCCGAAAACGAAAAGATCCATTAAACCAGCCAGGACCAAAAATCAATCCGACTCCGAAGACACCCAAAAATCTCCAAACTCCCAAACACACAATCTAGGTTTTACTATTATGTTGCTATTATTAGTAGAAGAAGAAACATAGGTCTGTAATCTGCATATATAATATGCAATGCATTTAATTTTTTCCTGACTAAACTCAAGTTGATTAGAGTAAACTTTAGACCAACTACATAATCTCAACAACTATAACTTATGGGTTAGCAGCAAAACATGATCAACTTATTCGAGCTACGAAACTTTTTCCTTTATTTTTGTATAGCAAAAGTCATAATTTGAGAAAAGGAATAAGATTTAAACCATTAGCTTTATAATAAGATATAAGGATTCTAATCAATTACAAGAAAATTGAATTGCTCAGTCAAAGATAATCTATACTTTATAACACAAGTCAAAGAAATGAAATGCATATCAACATAGACAAATTGATTTCAGTTTCACTCGCCTTTTGATGGATAGGAATGAAGGTAGTTGTTGAACTGAAGTCAAGAAATTAGTTGATGGTAAGTGTGAATCTGGTATGACCTAGTTTGTCTCATTAAGGTCGTGTTTGGGTTGTTATTAATTAACCAAACCTAGTAAAAAATTACATCTCCATCAAGAATTTGTTATTAATTAACCAAACCTAGTAAAAAATTACATCTCCATCAAGAATTTGTTATTAATTAACCAAACCTAGTAAAAAATTACATCTCCATCAAGAATTTGTTATTAATTAACCAAACCTAGTAAAAAATTACATCTCCATCAAGAATTTGTTATTAATTAACCAAACCTAGTAAAAAATTACATCTCCATCAAGAATTTATTGAGTGAGTCATATTTCACCAATTGGGATAACAGAAAATGTCATTTCTTCAATGTTTGGGATTCATATTCCTAGTACAAACTAACACGATATAATTCATATTCCAAATCAAACTAACACCATATAATTCATATTCCAAATCAAACTAACACCATATAATTCATATTCCAAATCAAACTAACACCATATAATTCATATTCCAAATCAAACTAACACCATATAATTCATATTCCAAATCAAACTAACACCATATAATTCATATTCCAAATCAAACTAACACCATATAATTCATATTCCAAATCAAACTAACACCATATAATTCATATTCCAAATCAAACTAACACCATATAATTCATATTCCAAATCAAACTAACACCATATAATTCATATTCCAAATCAAACTAACACCATATAATTCATATTCCAAATCAAACTAACACCATATAATTCATATTCCAAATCAAACTAACACCATATAATTCATATTCCAAATCAAACTAACACCATATAATTCATATTCCAAATCAAACTAACACCATATAATTCATATTCCAAATCAAACTAACACCATATAATTCATATTCCAAATCAAACTAACACCATATAATTCATATTCCAAATCAAACTAACACCATATAATTCATATTCCAAATCAAACTAACACCATATAATTCATATTCCAAATCAAACTAACACCATATAATTCATATTCCAAATCAAACTAACACCATATAATTCATATTCCAAATCAAACTAACACCATATAATTCATATTCCAAATCAAACTAACACCATATAATTCATATTCCAAATCAAACTAACACCATATAATTCATATTCCAAATCAAACTAACACCATATAATTCATATTCCAAATCAAACTAACACCATATAATTCATATTCCAAATCTCAGAACTAACTCAACAGAAAATGAAACTAAAATCTATCACAGTACAAATTCAAAACTTCATAAAACAGTATCACAAGAACCAATACCTTAATAACAGAATTTGGGATAACCCATGGTTTTACAAAAATTATTTTGGGATTTTAGGTTTACCTCCTAGGTGAGAGGGATCAAAGAAGTTAATCGCCTAATTTTCACAAACATTGAAGCCAAAACGTAAATCCTAGATTTGGGATTTTAGGTTTACCTCAAATTCCGTGTCGTCTCGTTCACCGTCGTTCGGTCCCGTTCGCCGTCGTTCATCCTCGTTCGTCTTCTTTCGTCGTCAATCACAGAGCGTTAAGAGGTGAGAGGTATGACAGAGATCTAGGATAGGATCAAAGACTGCTGAGTAGAGGTGAGCATGGATAAGAGACTGCTGAGCATGCGTGAGCGTGATCTAAGATGAGAGAGCAGAGGTGAGCGTAATCTCAGATGAAAGAATGGTTTTTGGCTTCGGATAGAGGTAGTTGTTCGAAACAGAGATGAGAGAGAGAGAAGAGAAGATGTTTTTCGAGCTACTCGAGCCAAATAATTTTGAGCTACAAAGCTTTATCGTTATGCGGATCTACCCAATTATTGTCACAACAATGCTAGGTAGCTCAAAATTTTGTGGCACAAATGGCTCAAATCACTCAAAACGACGTCGTTTTGAGTGATTTGAGCCATTTGTGCCACAAAATTTTGAGCTACCTAGCATTGTTGTGACAATAATTGGGTAGATCCGCATAACGATAAAGCTTTGTAGCTCAAAATTATTTGGCTCGAGTAGCTCGAAAAACATCTTCTCTTCTCTCTCTCTCATCTCTGTTTCGAACAACTACCTCTATCCGAAGCCAAAAACCATTCTTTCATCTGAGATTATGCTCACCTCTGCTCTCTCATCTTAGATCACGCTCACGCATGCTCAGCAGTCTCTTATCCATGCTCACCTCTACTCAGCAGTCTTTGATCCTATCCTAGATCTCTGTCATACCTCTCACCTCTTAACGCTCTGTGATCGACGACGAAAGAAGACGAACGATGACGAACGAGGATGAACGACGGCGAACGGGACCGAACGACGGTGAACGACACGAAATTTGAGGTAAACCTACAAGAAAATCAAAATTTCTGAGGTAAACCTAAAATCTCAAATCTAGGATTTACGTTTTGGCTTCAATGTTTGTAGAAATTAGTCGATTGTGACTAATTGTTGTACAAATTAGTCGATTCCATAAATACCTTACAATGACCAATTTCGAAGCTGGGTTCTATGTCTCAATTTATACCATTGAATCCCTTCACAAGAAAATCGCTGGTTCGGTTGATGAAGGAGGTAACCAGAACCATCGGAAATATTTGCAATCTTATCTGCATTCCCATATGAGAAATTAGTTAATTTTTGTAAATATTTATCATTTAAGCGTTAAACTATAAATCCTTAGTGTAGGGATTGTTAAATTATTTTTATATAAAATAAATATAAAATAATAAAACAAATACAAAAATACAAAAACATTAAACATTAATGTTTTAAAAAAAATGTCCAACATGTAAAAAATTTTAAAAAAATAAAAATAAAATAAAATAAATTTAGAAAAAAATAAAATAAATAAAATAATAATTTTTACTTAACAAAAAATGTAAAAAATTAAACATTAATGTTCAAAAAAAAAATGCCCGGCATGTAAAAAATAAAATAAAAAATAAATAAAAATAAAAAATTTCTAGTCTGCCGGACTATTTTTCTAATACTAAGTCCTGGAAGCCCATCCGAATCTCATCTGCAAGGCCTATCCTAAGCCCTTCGACTTAGCAATCCCTTCCTCAACTCTGTAAACAAACAACACATCAAATGGGACCCACAGCTATCCTAATCCCAATCCTCCTCTCATACCCCAAAACAAACGGAGCCTTTGGACTTTCCACATCAAAATAATAATAATAACAATAATAATAATTTTTTTTAAGACTATGTTTGACATTGGTTTTTTTTAACTATTTTAGTTATAAAAAGATAAAATAAATTAAAAGTCAATAATATAAAATGTTACATTTAAATCATAATTATTTTATTTTTTTCTCACAAAAGTCAAAAAAATCAAAAAAATCCATTCTAAACGAACTTTTTTAGCCCTAGACCAAAAGTTAAAAAGGTCAAAAAATTAACCCACATTTCAAACAAAGGCTGAATGTAATTAATGTAATTGTATAATAAATCTTCAGAAGGGATATATATAACGGTAATGCTACGTCGCTCGAAAAAAGTCCCCCCGAATCCCCCTAATCCCAGAAACGACGTCGTTTCTGTATTTTTTTTTATTTTTTTTTTTTTTGTCCTGGTTCAATCAGAAACGAGGGAGAAGAAGAAGGAAGAAGGAGAAGAGAAGAGAAGGAAAAAGGAGGAGGAGGAAGAAGGAGGAGGACTGGAGGGAGCCATAACCACGGGGAGGAGGAGGCAGAGGCGGAGGCGAGGCAGAGGCGGGGGCTACCGGAGACGACGATCAAGCAGAGGCGGGAGCTGCGAGACGACGATCGGGCAGAGGCGGGGGCTACCGGACACGACGATCGGGCAGAGGACGACGATTGAGCTCCTCCTCTTCCCTCTCTTCTGAACTCCTCCTCTTCCCTCTCTTCTCTTCTCTCTCTCTCTCTTCTGAAATTAGGGAGATTCGGGGAAAGGAAATTAGAAGGACAAATCATTATTCGTTTTCTTAACATATGAGGATCCAAATCCTTCTTCTCTCTCCAAGAAATGGTCAATATACTGTCCTTGTCTATCAAAGTCCTTGCTTGCCGGAACTAAATTCCTCTCTCTCTCTCTCTCTCATCAGAGAAATCATCATAAACCAACCACCTCAAAATTTATGGCCAATCCTATGAACTTTGTTTCCTGTATAAATGGGAGCTGACTTGTCTTTCTTCTAATTATTGGATTGGAAGGTGTTATTTGAATTATAAATTTTGTTTTAAATTGTTTATTTTTTTAAGTTATTATATGTAGATTATTTATAAATAAGAAAATCAGGTCAATTTAATATTTATAGTTATATAATTTTTTTTTTTATATTTGCCTTTAAAAAATAAACAACATGAATGGTTTTAAAAATAAATTATATTTTTTCAGAAATAAATGTAATAAAATTATATAACTATACATACCGAATCGTCTTATTTTTTGTGTATATAATCTACACAAATTAACTTAAGAAATAAACTACTCAAACGATATAAAAAGGATCCTTGATCAATCCTACAAATAATTGGAAATAATATATTATTAATTTATCATTATTTTAATTTCATTTTCTAAAAATATTTAAAAATAACTGGATAAATTTTTGTATAAAAAAAAAATTCATCAATTTTAATATATTTTTTTAAATTTGAAAATTCAAAACTTCTTTTTAATGTTTATTTTCACTAAACTAATTTTTCATACTTTTAAGAAAATAGATTTTGAAAACAAAACGAAATAAATATATTTTTTGACTGAGTGGAGAGACGAGATTTGTGATCTCTTAAAGCATGACCAAATCTAATAAATAAATAAATAAAAATTGAAATACTCTTCTGAGACAAAAGTAATAATAAAAAAAAGTAAACAAAAACATAAAAATAATAATTAGAATATTTTAATAGGAAAGATGAATTTGAAATGCTGTAAAAATATCGTTTGTCAAAGCAATCACAATTTACAATATGTTGTTCAGTGTTACATCTCTAAAATTCACAACAAACATGAAGTTTTAATACATTAGACAAAAGTAACTGTTAGTTTGAAGTACTCACAAAGAAAGCAAATCAAAGCAAAAATGTGGAGACCAGAGTGTCTTTCATCACTTTATGTGTGCGCGCTGGAGAGGCGAAAATTTTGGGTTCCTGATCTGAAAACCACGCATCAATAGAATTAAAGAATTTGTATCAATCACGACTGCACAGATTCCTTGGGAATTTTTTCCTCTTCCTCTTCATCTGCAGATTCCTCAAAAACGTCATTGTCTTTCTTTTCATCTGCAGATTCCTCAATACTCTTTAGACTGAATTTCAAACGAACTGCCCGGCCCATTAATTCCTGCATTAGGAAGGTTGAAAGGATCAAAACCCCCATTACTAATGCAGCAACGCTATGTACCCAGGAAAAGTACTACTCAGAACTTGAATTTATGGAGCTAGATGTAACTCGAAGAATATATTTCATCCGAAAGTTTTAAATTCTGGGCACTTTTCTGATATTTTTTTCTGGGCACATGGAATTTCTGTTACTAACCAGGCGTTACACAGCTATGATAAAAAATAGATATGTAAGCAATATTCAGTGAATATTCACAAAACCAGATCCTAGCATGTGCCTGTAGCAATTCTGTATATACATTATGAGCTGTAGTGCATTTCTGTATATAGGCATTTATATGACTCTTTTTTTTTAGTCATTTAGAGGGCATAATTAGATTATTAGAGGCTGTGTTTCTTGGCGTTCTTCTGTGTATTTATGTTTTCTCAAGCAATAAATATTAGCTTTGCACTTAAAAATTCCAAATTTTCAAAAAAATATTTTACTTTCCCTCTTTCAATATTCCCTTGGATACAGTATATGGGAATTGCCCACTCTTTAGACGAGTCCCCCCTCACAATCAGCATTTTCCAATTCAACTTTGAACTATAAGACTTGTTGATCTGGTCAAAAAGCAACACAAAATCCCAAAGATACCTCAATGCAAGACAACAAAAAAATAAGCATCCACACTATTTTTGCATAACCCCTATTAGGCAGGTAGGACGGATTCTTGTGATCACACACAGGAAGGGTTTGCTACGCACTGGTCTCCCCCCCCTACTCTTTTTTAACTAGCAAAAAAACAGCTATTACAAGTTGAAATATTCCTCCATCCATATACAAACAACTCACCCAAACTTTAACCCTTTAAATCACCGAAAGACTATGAAATTCTACTCTTAGACAGACCTCCCTGTACCAAATATTCCTCAATAAAGTCACTCCCTAATTTCCCTAAACTTCATTCAGTCATCTATAAGCCTTTTATCAATGTCATACTCCTAGACCACCCTTCTTCAAAGAACCCTCGCATAGGTGAAGTAACCATAGTCAAGAAAAGATAGCAGACATAGTTTCACAAACAATTATGATTTATGAAATAATCAACAAGCAAGCAAAAATAATCTACCTCCATTTTTCTCCCAACTCCAGCCTTCATGACATATAGAATAGAGAAGAGCCTAATTAAAACATGATCTTAAGCTTTCTCCATAGCAAGTTTAAACCACACCACAACCCTACATCTTGTGTCAACACAACCACAGTTAATATTGTCTGCCTCTTTACTCGTGCACTTTGATTTCGCCTGACCAAATCTCCTATTACCAACTTAAGCCTATATGAGGACACTTTTCATGGTCTTCTACATGTTGCCCATGAGATAAATTGGCCCAAAGTCAGCAACTATAATGTAGACACAGAAATAAGCATATATTATTTATGTTATTTTGATATGCATACGCATGTGTGCAAGCTATATAAAGCCACTGTGTCAAACACCATGTTCTCACAAAAACAAACACAATAATAAGTGAAATGCCACAAGATTGATTTTACATGAGTACCTTCTCATCCAAAGCTGAAATTGCAGCATCTGCTTCCTCCTTCGTGGCAAATGAGACAAATCCATACCCACCAGATTTTCCTGAGGGGCTATCAAATACCACTCTAGCCGAAACTGGATTAAAATTGGCAGCAAAAAATTCTCTGAGATGATTGGACCTCACTTTCCATGCAAGATTGGACACATATAGCTTATGGCGTGTCTCTCCAGCTGGGGGAGCCACAAGAGGAGGAGGACGTGATGGTTTCTTGAATCTCTTTGCAAACTCAACCTTAAGAATCCTACCCAATAATTCCTACACCACAAAAACCTTCAAATTGACAGATATTGAAAGGAGAATGGGAAAATGACAATTAACTATAATCTCAATCACCACCTCCCTTCCGATGCACCATTATGAATGAAAATCAGCTAATGTTAAAAAATGAGAAGTGGACAATGAATCTATAAATCAACTAGTTAACAAATTCACTTGACAAGGGAAGTAAAATTGAGAGGGAGAGTTTATCTTCAAAATATATATAAGAAAATGGAGCTATAAATGTAATTCTGAAATTCCTCCATTTCACCATTGGGAACAAAAAATGCATTCCCATTACTCAATAAAATTTTTAACCAAAAAATAATAATAATAATAAATTCCTATTATGGTTTAAGAGTCAAATGCATTTTGGTAATTTCAAGATTTGCAAGTCTAGGGTGCTTCTATTTGCACCCTTCTTTTTATCTCTTTACACCCACAATTTTCGTTTTTTTAAACGTTCTTTTCCTAAACTACTTTACCATTAAGGACAAAACCCTAGAAATTTAAACCAAAATTTCTCTCCACAACCACCCTTCCTCTCCTCTATCTAGCCGTCACTCGCTGCCTCTTGCCCTTCACTGCCACTAACCGTCCCCTCTCGTCTAGCATTTGCTCACCACTGGCCATTGCCACCAGCCACTGCCATCCAGCCACCCCATCCCTTGCCACTACCCTTCAACCACTAAAATCCTAAATTTGTCACCCCCATTGTCATTTTTTCCTTCTCCATATCGCCACCGACCTCCTCCGTGGATGAGTTGGAAGAGAGAGCAGGGGAAGGAGATAGAAAAGAGAGGCAAGGGGAGAGGAAGAGAAGAGGTTGCGTGTATGTAGATAGAAAGAAGACGGTAGGTTAGGAATGATGGTATGTTTAGAATTATGAAGGTGCAAAGAGATAAAATGTTTGTTTGTTTTTTATTTTATTTTTTTCCTTTTTTTTTAAGGTTGGTGTAGTGAAACCAAATGTGGGGTGTAAATACAAGCACCCTATGAACTGATGTTATGGTCCATGGTCCTTGAGTTAAGTTATGGTGTTATGTATCTTAGTCTTAGCAGTGTTCCGAAGCCCAAGAAAAACACAATCATCAACGTTCTCAATCTTATAGGGAATGAGCTTAATCATTCTTAGTAAATTGTAGTTCTCTGTGAGATTGTGTGTGCAATTACGTGTGAAGCCCAAGAAATTCTTGAAGTGATTCCTAAACCATTACCACTCTTGCCTAATTTTGATCACTTTCAAGCCTTCTAAACTCTAGTTGTGATTCCTTCCTACAGCCCCATGCCTTTGTGCATTTTGATTATTAGCCCTACTAACCAAAAGAGCCCTTAATTACTGTTCCCAAAATTTTGTTGCTTAATTCAACTCCTAGGCCTTTAACACCCCTAGGTATAGGATATAAACCAAGGAAAGAACCCTAAACGTTAAAAAGCAAATTCCAAAAGAAATCAACTTACATGGGAATCAAACTTATCTATAACTGCCTGAGCTTCTTCTCCAGAACCCATTGTCACGAATGCAAAGCCTCTGTTCTTCCCATCCTTATGCTTTATAATCTAAAAATAAAAAACCCAACATTTAAAATCAACATATAAATACAATTATGTGTGTATATATATATATATATAGAGAGAGAGAGAGAGAACCTCAACATCTGAGACAGTTCCACATTCAGCAAAGAAGATCTTGATATCATCAACAGAGAAAGACCAGGGCAAATTGAGCACAAACAGCTTTCTCCTCTGATTCTGATTCTGTTGTTGGGTTTGTGGGTCTGGGTTTTCATCAACTGCAATCTCTTGCACTGCTGAGCAGCTTACTTCAAAGCTTGTTGATTTTGGGGTTGGGTTGATAGAGAGAAGGGGGAGAAGGGGATAACGATGGAATTTGAGGAAAAGAGTAGGGGTAGAAGTGGAAATGTGGAGCCTTATGGACTGTGAAGGATTTGGGGAATATGGGAATTTCGAAAAAGATGGAGGGTAAGAGGAGAAGATAGAGAAGGGTGCTTCCAGTGCCGCCATTGCTGTGACACCCAAATAGGAGGAGTTCAAGAAGAGGTTAAATTTGAAAGATGGGAGTTAAAGAAGAATATATGTGATGGGTTTCATGGTAATTTCAACTATTGGAAAAATAATTTACTCTCTTCCTACATTTGGATAACTTGTGGACCCACTTAACCAATTGACAAAAATGGGACCTCCTCACCAAAAATGTTAAGAAAGAACTATGACAATTTATTTTGAAATTTATCTTGAAATAATTTTATAGTATATATTTAAAAGAATTAATTGGTGAATAAATATATGACACTGTATACACAAGTGACATTTGAGCACAGGACTGGCCGAGTTTTTTGTGGCTCAAGGAAATCATTAAAATAAGGTTGTTTATATATAGTAAAAAAAAAATTAGGAGAAATGAAAAGTATTTATACTATTACAATTTATTAAAAAGTAGGCACAAAGAGTTTGAGAGAATGTTTTTTTATTATTCATCGAGAGATCTTACACTTAAAGTTGAATGTGAGGCAAATGAGCTCTCATTCCTTATATGGGCAACTTAGGCTGTGTTTAGTTGACGAATTTGAGAGGAATCTGAAAATAGTTGACGAATTTGAGAGGAATCTGAAAATTGAAAGACAAAAAATAAATGAAATATGAATAAAATATATATATATATATATTTCACCTAATTTCACGCACATTCTCTATTTTCCTTTCCTTTTCTCTTTCCACATCACTCCCAAATCCATGAACTAAACATGCCTTAAGCTTAGAACCATTATTAAGTTTCTACACCTTACCAAAATATTTTAGAATTTATTTCTAGAATTATGGACAAATATCTAGAACCCTTATTAATTAAAAATAGATTCTAAAATTATGTACAAATATCTAAAACAATTAATTAAGTGTGTAGAATTTCATGAAGCCTTTTACACCTTACCAGAATACTTTAGAATATATTCTAGAATTATGTGCAAATATCTCTCATTCTTTAAATGAAATAAAAATTAACAAAATTGTCTCACAAAAATTAGATTAAAAAAAATTTGGTACTGAAATTAAATTTAGGGCACTAATCAAGATTAAGCAAGTCCACAAATAAATTAAAGCAATGAAATTCATAATTAAAAAAAGAAAAGAAAAAAGAAAAGAGAGTAGAGATACTAGATTAATAAGTAAAGTCCTCAAATCAAATATTAAATAAAAAAAACAATTAAAAAAAAAAAAGAAGAAGAGCAGTGAATATTTTAAAAATAATTTGGGCACATAATTAGATTTAGGGCAAAGAGAGAGAGTGAGAGAGGACTCACCGCCACCGTCGATGATTCTATGCCGCAGAGACACCACACCGATTCCGTTTGCTCTCTCTCTCTCTCACCCTCACTCTCACTCTCACTCTCACTCTCGCAGTTGCTTCCAAAGCTATAACACAGGAATATATCTAAAATAACGAAGTGATAAAAGTTTTTGTTATTTATAAATTTTACCCAATACATTTCATAATATAATTTGGGGCCCCCAATTTGTCTTGATTGTCTTTTGGAGTTAAAAAGTATTGGGTTGGCCCCATTCTTGAACTATTTATAATTACATAGATTAAAAAAAAATATTTTGGATCCTTAAATTTTGGGGCCCAAAGCGATTACCTTACTCGTCTTCGTTCAGAATTAGGTTTGTTTTAGCAGATAGATAAATAAGTAAAACGTATGGACTCATTTAACCGATTGACAAAAATGAGACATTCACATCAAAAATGCTAATAATTTTGAAATTTTCTTGTGAAATTATCTAAAAAAATAATTGTGCAAACATAATATCTAAACAAATTGAAAACATAAAATCTTACCAATTACTAAGAGTTTGCGGTTTGGCGGTTTGGCTGCAGCCAAATGAACCTCAAATCCGTTATTCGTCCAAAACTAGGCGGATTAGAAAAAATCATCCGTAACAGTCCGCTCGTTATCACGCATCCATAAAAAATGCGACAGATCGGTTCTGTTCGGTCAGTTTAGGCAGCTTGATATATCTGCTGCTCACTCCTAACAGATATGTCACATTTTATATAAATAGATAATATTTGAACATATAAGTAAGTTTTAAACAAATAGGTATTCTTTTGGCCAAAAAAGATTGAAAGTTGGACCTATATTGACTCAAAAATTTTAGTGGTTGAAAAGTCAGAAACCAAATTGTCACGAGTTTTAAATTATAGACATTGTTAATGTAATTCGCTCCCTTTTTCATTTTTAATATGTAATATTGTTGACCTCCTCAGCCCAAGTCTTATTTGAGTTTAATTTACGTTGGGTTTGGATTTTAAATTTGTATATGTAAGATTAGTTTGAGAGAGTGAGAGAAGCTATAGAGTGAGAGAGAGACTCTGAAATGTTTTTTATTATATTGTATGATTTACAAAGAGATGAAGGCTCTCTTTATAGAGAGAGAAAGGGGCATTGGATACCACCATTATCACCGAAAGCAAACACTACTCAATTAACAATATAATGAAGTCTGCTAAAGCTATGCTAAAGCTATTCTAACACCGAAAGCAAACACTATACAATATTCTAACAGCCCCCCGCAAACTCAAGGAGGGAAAGCATCAACCAAGTTGAGTTTGGAAACAAGATCATTGAAGCGGCCAGGAGGATGAGCCTTAGTGAAGATATCAGCGGGTTGATCGACTGAAGCAATAGGAAGAAGATGAACAGTCCCACAGGTAACATGCTGGCGAATGAAATGACAATCAATCTCAATATGTTTGGTGCGATCATGAAAAACATCATTGTGAGCAATCTGAATGGCACTCTGATTGTCACAGTAGAGAGGCGTAGGAGCAGATGAAGAAACACCCATATCAGCAAGGAGCCAGCGAAGCCAGAGAAGTTCCTGAGTAGTATCAGCAAGAGCTCGGTATTCAGCTTCGGTGCTTTTTAGCAACTAAAAAACAATTAGTAGCCAAAAATATAAAATTGGCGACCAAAAAATATTTTGGAAAAATGAAAAAATTGTTACTCTACACCAACTCTAAACCTGGCTTTATATAATTGGTGATTTTTTGGATTTTAGAACTTTTGGGCTGTTAAAGTTTAGCATGTTGGGTTCATGTAACAACTTAAAAGTTAAATTGTTTTGGGCTCGCACCTAGGTAAAACAAGGATGGCAAACAAAAAAAAATTTGTTGGTATTAGACCAGTTCTTGAGCCCAACATTTTAACTGAAAAAGCCCAAAAATTATTGAGCTAAGACGGGAGATTCTATTTATACTAAAAAAATATTCAGTACTCTCAATTTTTAATTATATTTTGTTTAATTATATAAAATTTTATTTTACTCTCATCACATCCTATTATTTTTTCCAAATTATCCTCAAGATAGACCCAAATAATAAGTAATAAACAAACTAAAAAAACTAAATTATTTCAAAAAAAAAATTCAATATAGAAAATAATTCTCAAATATAGAGAAAAAAAAAAAAAACCAAACTTACAAACACATAAGCATTATAAATACAGGAAAAACCAAATTTTTCCATAAGCATTATAAAAATTTTCAATACAGAAAAAAACTTTTACATTATAAATTATCTACAAGAATGTTCGTGGAAAAGTAAAAACCAACCAAACTTATGAGCACATAAGTATCAGACACTAACAAGAAAGAGTAGTTCTCAAATAATGTACTATTTAAATGACAAAATAAGAACAATTCCAATAATATATTATTGTTAATCTAACTACTTGACCTTTTAGTTTTTGTCAGAAAAAGAATATAAAAAATAATTGATGATGCTCTACAAAAATTATGAAACCTCTTTATATGAATACTTACCTCTTTTTTGATGAGTTGCTTCAAAAAATTATTTTGATTATTACTCTCATCAATTATTTGATTTTGTTCAAATTTTTTTCTAGGATTAAGGGTATCAAAATAATAAAAAAACAATGATGTTGATGATGATTATGAGTTTTGGTAGGGTGGATTGGAGTTTTGGAGGGAGGATGAAGAAGAAGGAGAAATAACTATAATCTCTTGGGGAAGAAGATACAGAGATTTAAATAGAAATAACTGATTATGGTGTACTATAAGAAAAAAAAAATATTTTAAAATTTTATATTTGTTGTCTTTATTAATAAATTCATATCAGAATATAATATGAATTTAAATTAAGCGTGTTAGAGATATATTTTTGGTTCAAATGGAATCCACCAGCTAAGACGGTAGATAGAAGCTCAAAAATTATTGGGCTATAGATTGTGGTTTTTTTTCTTTTTTGTTTTGTTTTTCCAAAAAAAAAAAAAAAAAAAAAAAAAACAACAACAACAACTGGAAAATTAAAATTATATTATAAAATGGGTCATATCTAAAATGAGTATGATCCAAGCATTTTGACATCTAAGGCCTAGTTTGGGAAGACTAAATAAGTGTACTTTTTGACTTTTTATGAAATATGGGTTGAGTTTGGGTTGTGTTTGAAGTGATGTGTTAGAGAGGTGATGTGACTTAAATAAGATGATGTGACTTAAATAAGATAGTGACTTTTTGACTTTTTATCTTTTTTCAATCATGTCAAACTTGACCTAAGTACAACATTTTATTTTTTCTACCTTGTCCTTTTTTTCTTTGTGGTTTTTTGGGGCAAGAAGCTAACCGTGTGAAGACAGTTCATTGGTCCAAAAAAAAGAAAAGAAAAGAATGAAACTAGTTCAAACCCCCAAAAAAAAAAAAATTTCTATTCACACATAAAATTTTTAAAAAAAAATGACAAAAATGATATGATATTATTATTATTATTAATAATTAATTTTTAATAATATTTTATTTTGAAATAAAGAGTTTGTCAAATCATTATGTATGAATTTTTTATTTGTATGATATTATTAGAAAAAGTTAAAAAGAAAAAAAAGGAAACTAATTGACTTTTGGGAGCATTAGTCCAACGATGTACAGTTAATTTAAAATGAAGGCATAAATCTTCACCGTTGAGAAATTCAATCGTTTGAATTTTCTCATTATTGCAGTGTCTCTCAAGTTCACTCCTAGCATATTGAAACCCCACATAGGCTTCAACATCAAAGATATTTTTATCAAGATGGGACCACCCCTTTGTAGGGTTTTCACATAATGAAAATGAAACATCAAAGAAGCTCCTAGATATTGACCAAGTCCCAACTTTGGAGTTCTTTGTATGGATATACATACCTTTATAATGTTGTGTACACTATAGTTTTTCTTTTGTCTGTGGTATAGAAAAATTTAGTTACTGATTGGTGATGAACAAAACTGAATATAAAAAATGTGATGATTTTATCAAAAAAAATGAAGTGTTTTTGTGATTTTACTTGGTATTGAAATTGATCTTATTTATATATCATACAAAAAGACCTTACTAACAGTTACAAGATATAGCCATATTTATCATGTAATGTAATCATCTATTTATAATTAAAATTGACTTGTTTGTGAAAGTGACTTGACTTATTATTTAATATAGTAGTACTTATTATTTATTTTTTAGAGAATAAGAAAAAGAAACTACAGTAAAACTCGTCCACTAACAACAATTCTTATACTAGAAATTTCTAGTAGAAAGTGGTTACTTATGCAGTGAGCAACGGGAAGTTTGATTTCTATTGATGGATTCAAATTCGATTTTGTTGTTAGTTTTTGTAATTAATTTCTCAAGCAAATTTAGAAAACTGAATTCATTTAAGTTTTGAAGGGGGTTAGGCATCATGAAAAAAATATTATAAAACGCTTTATGAAGATTATTTATATTTAGATTACACACACAATAAAATACCACATACTAATCAAATAATAAAAAAATTTCATAAAATATTTCATGATATTTCTTGATAACTAAGATTACTTTTATAAACATGAATCCAAGCTTTTCAATAACTTTCTGAAGCAATAAAGCAAAGAAATGAAAGGCACCCATACTGATGAAACATTTTGGACCATCCTTCAATCAAAATACAAGTCCAAACAAATTTACTTTTTGAGTGTAGCCCCTCAAACTTGGTCATCCAACCCATCCAATTGATAAAACCTTTGTTGACTAGCCTTCAATCAATATCAAGTCCAAACAAATGCACTTTTTGGGAGGGTCCTCCACTCCAACTTGACCTTCCGTAACTTGTATGAATGTTTCTTCCATGCTCAAAGAATGGCAATAGGCGGAGTCTAGTATGAGTTATTCTCTCTGATTTCACTTAATTTAAAAAAATATCATTACGATCATATTCATGATTCAATGAGACAAAAAGATGACAACAGTTATTCTATGTTAAGTTTGTGAAATTAAATATATAATGATTCATTTTAAATTATATGAACATAAGACTACTTAAGTCACACGAGACATTAGTCACACATCCGAGTAATAACCCCACCTTATCACACATAGGTCCATTTTTGTAAATGTTGACTAGCATTTTATTTTTATTTTTTTAAA